TTTTTATGGGTCGGGCGTCCCCAGTGTCTATTTCGTGCTGAACTAGGTGCGTTTGCCCTACCTCATCTTCTCCCCAAGCGAAGCTATCTTTAAAGTCCAACAGCAGCTGCTTTATCCAGACCCTGACAGTTTTTCAGCCACACAGCTTCGACGGTGTGATAGCTTCCTCCTTCCCCCCCATCGGGCTGATGGGGTGAAGAAGCCAGTGTGTTTTGGGCTACTGGGCTGTCTGTGCTTGCACTGTTATGGGGAGTGAAGGCCGTCGCCGCCGGAGACAGCTGCTGGGATGGCACAACGACCAAGGGAGCAGCCGGGACGACCTGTGGAGTTTCGGCAAGCTCCCGAAGGCGACATTCCCACTGTGGGCCCCCCCGACTGCCTCAAAGTGCCCGAAGCTAAGTCCAACTGAGCCCCACAGTTTTTCAAAAAGTCCATTCCCAGTATAAAGGGGGCCTGCACCACTGCTACCCACACCGGACACCCCACAGTTCTCCCCCCCACAGTCACAGACAGCTGACACTTCCCTAACATGGGGGCTAGCTCCCCCGTGACAGTCCGCAGCTGGACAAGGGTCGGCTCCACCCGCACCCCAACAGGTAGTATCTCTGGTCTCACCAGGGTTACTGTAGAGCCTGTGTCGACCAGGGTCAAACATTCCACCCCCTCTACCTTGACGATGACATTGCAGAAGTCCCCAATGGTGGTACGTCCCACCACAACTACCGGACTAGGAAACACGGCGGCAGCTACACCCTGGGGGAGCACCAATGTAATGACCCGGCTGGGTCATAAAGGAAAAAGAGACGGACACCAGGTGTGCATGGGCAGAACACAGGTTTGTTCCTAAACTGGGCTATTGTTCAGGGCTATTGTTCAGGCCACAGCCCACGCCGCTAAATTCCGAATGTACACAAATATACAATGTCAAGTTAAGGGCAGACTCATAGGAGCAGATCAGGATCCCGAATAGAAGAGAGAGAGAGATGAGACAGCAACCCCTATTTATGCATTTCAAAACCCCGCGGGATTACCCATCATACCCCCTCAACCTTTCTGTCTGCCCTCGCATATTTAACCCCTGCTAGCACCCATGAGAACAATAACACACCCACGAACACAGAACACAATACCGGGTCGTTACAATATGTCTCCCTTATTTTGGTTTTCGTACAGATATTCACAGTGATACTGTTGGAAAAGGTCAGACATTTCAGTTGCCCAGGCTCCCCCTATGGATAGCTCTCATTGAAAAACTTTACTAGCTATGCTGGCAGTTGGCATATCCAACAGTCTATTCCAAAGTCTCCCCATACATGCTTTCCATCTCACCTCACAGGGTTCCCAGCCCATGTCCCCAGTTATTGCAAGTATAGGTGCAAACTTGTGGACACCTAAAAAGTAACGTACTACTCTGTTATGGACATGTTCGTTTTTGAGATACCTCTTAGCACCCCACACTCCTTCTGAATAGTCCAGAACAGGACACACACGTCTGATACAGTTTGGAATACGTAGCATAACCAATATCTTTGAGTGTTTTTGTAATTCCCCCAAGAGCTCTACTTGCTGAGTCGGCCAGGGCAGATGTTCCATATAGAAAGATAATATTTATAATTGCTAGTAAACTCAAGAATGTCTTCACCAAAACAAAACTGAAAAACACTTCTCTTAGTACCTGGTTGTCTAAAAGTATTATCTGTGTTTTTGTCTGGTTGATCCTGAGTCTCAATCTTTTACACCAATTGACTGCAAATAATAACATTTTCTGCAGGTCTTGTTCAGTTTCTGCCTGAAGGTAAGGAGGTGCCATTCCCCTCACAGCTCCGTAGGCAAGCACCATGGTCTTGTAGCAGATGCGAGCTTCAACTGGAAGCCAGTGGAGCGTGCGGAGGAGCGGGGTGACGTGAGAGAACTTGGAAAGGTTGAACACCAGACAGGCTGCAGCGTTCTGGATGAGTTGTAGGGGTTTAATGGCACAGGCAGGGAGCTCAGCCAACAGCGAGTTGCAGTAATCCAGACGGGAGATGACAAGTGCCTGGATTAGGACCTGTGCCGCTTCCTGTGTAAGGTAGGGTCGTACTCTGCGAATGTTGTAGAGCATGAACCTACAGGATCGGGTCACCGCTTTGATGTTAGCGGAGAACGACAGGGTGTTGTCCAGGGTCACGCCAAGGTTCTTTGCACTCTGGGAGGAGGACGCAACGGAGTTGTCAACCGTGATGGCGAGATCATGGAGCGGCAGTCCTTCCCCGGGAGGAAGAGCAGCTCCGTCTTGCCGATTACATTGTTATTGATTGTTGTATTGTTGGGTTTTGAGTTTGCAAGAAAGACTGTACTTGTGCATGTGGGGCCCCGTATAGCTCAGTTGGTAGAGCATGGCGCTTGCAACGCCAGGGTTGTGGGTTCGATTCCCACGGGGGGCCAGTATGAAAAATGTATGCACTCACTAACTGTAAGTCGCTCTGGATAAGAGCGTCTGCTAAATGACTAAAATGTAAATGTGATATTAAAATTGAAACTTGAAACTGTCAAGCCTCCTTACTCCTGATTGGTCAGTTCAGTGGAGCCAGATCATTATCACTCCTTCTGGCTGTTGGAGAGGGGAAAAGATATTAAGTGAGTTGGGGCCTTTTTTGGCCCTGCCTCTGGGAGCCTGTCAGCCTTTTGCCTGTCAGCTTTTGACATGATGAGAAAGAGTGAGAGAAGTCCTACATGCAAGATATTTTGTGAGTAGTGCTATAAACGTACTTGAAGAGGTTGTTTTTTTTACCATTCAGGGACCTCATCTCAAACACTCATGAAAACATGACAACATTATTGTCTACACTAAATAATGTGACTTTGGTCATAAAAAATGCATATGCATGAAAACAAAGACTTTTAATTCTGGAGAGAATTCTGGACACTAGGGGACACCTAGGCCTTGTTATGGATAAAAGTCTATAAAAGATAGATTGGTATAAGATACCTGCTCCATTTTTTGGGCACATGTTGATAAGATATTGGGGAATCACTGGAGGGGAATATTGACCCACTGAGCATCTCTGAATAGTCACCTCAGTGTACAGGTAAATAAACACACTAGGCGTTTTGTTATATTTCAGTCTTCTGTGATGTATATAAAGTGTAATATTGTGATGCAAACTCAAAATTGAATACATTTCAACTCTATATCTGATATGGTACAGGTGTCTTATTTTATTATGCCGGCTCTGTGTGACCCTGATTTAGCCCACTGCAGTAAAAGGTTTTAATGAAACGGTGTCCCTTGTAACAATTGTTGTTACCAGGTCCTAGCCTATTTATCAAACCTGGTATTACATGTGGATTCGATGGTTGTGGCACCTTGTAGTTACATATAACAAGGTCATATTTTAGCTTGAGTTATTAACATGGTAATTCACAGGTGACATTCAAATGTGTAATTACATTAGTTACATAGTGGAACAAGAGAATATGTAATAATATCAGTAGTTACACATGTGGAATAACCTTCAGCAAGTGAATAACTGATCCCTCAACAACCCCATTACCATGTAATTACATTATCTATGTAACTGCTATGTTGTTTACATAGTTATTACTGTGTTACTTACATAGTAATAGGGGCAAATTAATGTAAAGTGTTACCAAATATGGTGGTGGATCTTTGATGTGATGGGGCTGTTTTGCTTCCACTGGTTCTGGGGCCTTGTTAAGGTCAATGGCATCATGAACATCACCCAGTACCAGGTTATTTTTGCCAAAAACCTGGTTGCCTCTGCCAGGATGCGGAAACTTGGCCGCATCTCAGTCTCCAGACATGAACCCCATTGGATATCAAGGGTCTGGAAAGATTCTGTATGGAGGAATCCCTCCCAATGTGTTCTCCAATCATAAAACATCTGTGACCGACCGCAAAATTGAAATTGTGTTTTTTCTACATTGGATAAAAGTAGAGACTCAGAGCTAGAAAATGGTATATCATACACTACAATTGAGGAACAATGGGAAAGTAATTCTGCTTTGAAAGTTGATAAACTTGTAACCCCACTTTTGAAAAAATGGCACTTTAATGTTTTGGTACACCTACTGGAGACCTCTTCTTTGTCTACACGCATTCAGCATCGTTCACACCCTCTTAAGCATTAGCCCCACCCATCTCTTTAGGGATTCACATGTGAGGCCATGTGCTAAACAGTGAGTACGGTAGTGTACTAAACAACCAAAGATTTCAAGACTAAAGGCTGGTTTATACTACATCTATCGACATGCCTATACAGTTGTAAAATATATACCTTACGTTAGCCTAACGTTATATCCTAATTTGACTTTGGTGCAGGTCATGTTGTTCTTCATGTTACCGTCTCTGGTAAACACACACTATATCAAATAAAATCGATGTTATTTGTCACATGCACAGGATACACAAGGTGTAAACAGTACAGTGAAATGGTTACTTGCATAGTGGAGTCTTTTGTTTAGACATGTAGCTAGCTAGCTAGCTAAACAATTAACCATAATCCCAACTCATAACGTTACTACCCTGCATGAATCTACAGGTAGCTAAAACTAAACAACTAGATTCAATGTTAGCTAGCTAGCTAACATTAGGCTATAACTAGCAATGCAAATGGCTCTGAGATACGAATAATATTACTACACAGATCATACACATAATGTTAGCTAGGGAGCCAGCCAGCCAGCTAAGGTTAGCTAGGTAGCTAACAGTACGCTTCAACTTGCTAAGAAAACAACTTTCGGACAAAATTAGAAACGTATAATATCAGAGAATTTAGCTAGCTATACTCTCTTACCCGTATACATGGATGAACGCTTCTCCCTCTCTGTCACAGATGCCATGGTTGCCCTTAGTTTGAAGATGTCTTCCGGAGACAGGTCTTATATATAACTGTGTTCTCTTTTCGACTCCCTCCGCATTTGCAATCAAACGCCAGAATTTTCTCCATCTCCTTAGCTATCATACTCTGCTTCCACGGGCATTCCACTGATTTCAAAACTCAGTCCTCCAGAAAGTGGAGAGCTTTGGCAACACATTTGCAGTTCTTCGTGATATCTTTCAAAAAAAGCTGCGTTAGAAAGGATTACCTACACATACTGAGCAGCTCATGTTATAGACAGAAGCATGCTACATGGCAGACCAATCCGAACTGATCTCTCGGCATGTCCAGCCCTATTTGACCCTATTTGACCAAGAAGGAGAGTGATGGAGTGCTGCATCAGATGACCTGGCCTCCACAATCACCTGACCTCAACCCAATTGAGATGGTTTGGGATGAGTTGGACCGCAGAGAGAAGGAAAAGCAGCCAACAAGTGCTCCGCATATGTGGGAACTCCTTCAAGACAGTTGGAAAAGCATTCCTCATGAAGCTGGTTGAGAGAATGCCAAGAGTGTACAAAGCTGTCATCAAGGCAAAGGATGGCTATTTGAAGAATCTCAAATATAAAATCTATTTTGATTTGTTTAACACTTTTTTGGTTACTACATGATTCCATATGTGTTATTTCATAGTTTTGATGTCTTCACTATTATTATACAATGTAGAAAATAGTAAAAATAAAGAAAAATCCTTGAATGAGTAGGTGTGTCCAAACATTTGACTGGTACTGTATGTTCAAATGCCTCTCTTGTGAAGTAGTGACACGCGACATCTGCCTAGTTTCCTGAAACAAGTCACATTTCAGAAAAAAGCTCAGTGCCGTTACCCTTGCAAAGGGAGGGTGCCGTAGTACTGAAAACAGGGGTGCCAATAATTTGGACCCCTATCTTTTTGAGAGAACAAAAATATGACTCTCTTTCTCTAAGTAATTATATAAAATAATTCCCCCCCCCCCCTCCCCCTTTTTTTTATACATACAGTATAGCTATTTTTTGCTCATTTTTATCAATGGTGCCAATAATTTTGGACCTGACTGTTTATTATGTACCTATTAAATATCAACCTTAAAGCAAAAAACGTATCAGTTGTGGATCAGTTGTGTACAACAATTTTATGTATGTCTTTTGGTATGCATACCAGATTCAATCAGTATATTGTTGATCAAGTTGATCAGTATATTGGTGTTTCTAATTGAATTAGTATAACCTGAGCAGGTGTTCAGTGGATAACTAACCTTGATGAGAGGGTTAATGACTCCAACATTAGGACTGGCATTGAACACTTTGTTGAAGCCAGTCTCTCTGTTGACCAGCTCCAGCTGATAGAACTTCTTGTCGTCCTACAAAAAAAACAGGAAAGACTGGTCAGTTCATGTCTGTAACAACTTCTTGTTGTCCTACAAACAAAACAGGAAAGACTGGTCAGTTCATGTCTGTAACACAAGGACCACTTTGGAAACAAGCGTTTTAATTACTGCTTTGAAGTGGGGATCCAATGGACATCTTGTTGTATTATTTCATACCCAAATAAATAACATTCTAAATGTTAGTTAGAGGACTGACACGGATAGAATGAGGCCACACTCAGAGCCACATATACCAAGGTCCCAATTTAAGTCAATGAAAGAAACGCCCACTGTAGGTTCACTTAGAATGTTTATGCTGTATTTTATGGTAAAGCTGTTCCTCTGGCATATAATGTCATTGGCTATTGACAGGAATCCACGCCACACCTGTCCTTAAAATACAGTGTTAACATTCTGAGTTAACCCTCAGTGCGGATTTCCTTTACCTGCAACTGATTGAATTGAGTTAGGGCCCTTAAGTGTTTGCATCAGTACAATGTGTTGTATTATTCACAGGGAATGTTGGTAAAATCATTATAAGTTGTAAGAAGGTAAAATAAACTCCACTAAAAGGAGGAAATCGTAAGGTAAAGTGTATATAAATTTAAAAAGAATTTCGTGATTTCAGCTTTCTTTTTTGTTTATTTTTTCCCCTTATAGCAGGTGCAAACACTTAAAATAAGACCATCTGATTTGTAGCTAGATGGTAGATATTCAAACTCAAAAACTTTAGTCAAGAAATCCTCTAGTCACATCTTGGCCACAAATGCTGAGTGGGTATTTTTCTATTTGTTTGATGTGTAAATTCAGATATTCCACACATTGAAATAAATCAAGGGTTAATAAAAATCCATGAATCATGGCATACAATCAAAGAATGTCAGTGCTTGTTCACGGTTTGAAGCTCCCATTATGAGTGTCAGTGAGAGGGTATTTGTTTAGTAAGCTTAAAAACCCAGCTAAGTGATGGAGCTAGCTGGGGGGGTTCATGTTGATGCCTCTTACACTTTTGCGCTATCCTTAGTTGGTTCCCAAATTGTTTCTGGTAGGTTCAGAAACTAGTGCTGCAGTCCAATTCTCTCCCTTTCTCCATGAAGTGTGCACTCATTCACTCTCCCTCAAGACTTAGATATGTATTTCTTACACCATGCTTTTAAATCCATGTGGGGGAGTGAACGAGTGTGAGAACTGCCAAGAAAAGGTTTATAAAGATTCTGTCATATACGATTTCAGGAGCATTCATGACTATGGAAATTAGTTTTTCCAGACCATGTGATCTAACCAGGGACCTAGTTACTGCTATAGTTTACTATAACAGTATATACATTTTAGGGCCTTTCAGGACATCGTGGACAATTGGGTAATATTTGGTTGAGACGCTGATCAATGAGTTATTCACCCACTCAAGTAAACAGGAAAAAGTTTATTGAATTCCCAATGTGTTTTCACTATGCTTTCAACCATCTAAAAGCACAACCAAATTCCAATGGAAAAACAATGTCTGCTCCTGTAAGTCGCTCTGGATACGAGTGTCTGCTAAATGACTCAAATATAAATGTAAATGTAAATGTATGGTTTAGTTGTCACCTAAATGTGTTATCACTGTGCTTTCAACCATTTAAAAGCACAACAAAGTTCAAATGGGAAAACAATGTCAGATGTAGCTCAGTTGGTAGAGCATGGCGCTTGCAACACCAGGGTTGTGGGTTCGATTCCCATGGGGGACCAATATGAAAAAAAAAGAAGGAAAAAAAAGGAAAAAGGATGCACTCACTAACTGTACAGTGAGGGAAAAAAGTATTTGATCCCCTGCTGATTTTGTACGTTTGCCCACTGACAAAGACATGATCAGTCTATAATTTTAATGGTAGGTTCATTTGAACAGTGAGAGTCAGAATAACAAAAAAAAAAGTCCAGAAAAACAGATGTAAAAAATGCTCTAAATTGATTTGCATTTTAATGAGGGAAATAAGTATTTGACCCCCTCTCAATCAGAAAGATTTCTGGCTCCCAGGTGTCTTTTATACAGGTAACGAGCTGAGAATAGGAGCACACTCTTAAAGGGAGTGCTCCTAATCTCAGTTTGTTACTTGTATAAAAGACACCTGTCCACAGAAACAATCAATCAATCAGATTCCAAACTCTCCACCATGGCCAAGACCAAAGAGCTCTCCAAGGATGTTAGGGACAAGATTGTAGACCTACACAAGGCTGGAATGGGCTACAAGACCACCGCCAAGCAGCTTGGTGAGAAGGTGACAACAGTTGGTGCGATTATTCGCAAATGGAAGAAACACAAAATAACTGTCAATCTCCCTCGGCCTGGGGTTCCATGCAAGATCTCACCTCGTGGAGTTGCAATGATCATGAGAATGGTGAGGAATCAGCTTAGAACTACACAGGAGGATCTTGTCAATGATCTCAAGGCAGCTGGGACCATAGTCACCAAGAAAACAATTGGTAACACACTACGCCGTGAAGGACTGAAATCCTGCAGCGCCCGCAAGGTCCCCCTGCTCAAGAAAGCACACATACAGGGCCGTCTGAAGTTTGCCAATGAACATCTGAATGATTCAGAGGAGAACTGGGTGAAAGTGTTGTGGTCAGATGAGACCAAAATCGAGCTCTTTGGCATCAACTCAACTCGCCGTGTTTGGAGGAGGAGGAATCCTGCCTATGACCCCAAAAACACCATCCCCACCGTCAAACATGGAGGTGAAAACATTATGCTTTGCTGGGTGTTTTTCTGCTAAGGGGACAGGACAACCTCACCGCATCAAAGGGACGATGGACGGGGCCATGTACCGTCAAATCTTGGGTGAGAACCTCCTTCCCTCAGCCAGGGCATTGAAAATGGGTCATGGATGGGTATTCCAGCATGACAATGACCCAAAACACACGGCCAAGGCAACAAAGGAGTGGCTCAAGAAGCAGCACATTAAGGTCCTGGAGTGGCCTAGCCAGTCTCCAGACTTTAATCCCATAGAAAATCTGTGGAGGGAGCTGAAGGTTTGAGTTGCCAAACGTCAGCCTCGAAACCTTAATGACTTGGAGAAGATCTGCAAAGGGGAGTGGGACAAAATCCCTCCTGAGATGTGTGCAAACCTGGTGGCCAACTACAAGAAACGTCTTACCTCTGTGATTGCCAACAAGGGTTTTGCCACCAAGTACTAAGTCATGTTTTGCAGAGGGGTCAAATACTTATTTCCCTCATTAAAATGCAAATCAATTTATAACATTTTTGACATGCGTTTTTCTGGATTATTTTGTTGTTATTCTGTTCAAATAAACCTACCATTAAACGTATAGACTGATCATGTCTTTGTCAGTGGGCAAACGTACAAAATCAGCAGGGGATCAAATACTTTTTTCCCTCACAGTAAGTCGCTCTGGATAAGAGCGTCTGCTAAATGACTAAAATGTAAAATGTAAAAATATTTTATTAATTATACAACAACTGAATGCGTTATCACTGTTCTTCATCTAATAGCACAACCAAATGACCTGTACAAGTAGATGTATCTACTGCTTGGATAGTTCCATCTGTGCTAACTCAACCAAAAATCGAAGTTAAAGAATAGGATTAAGCTAATAATAGAGTTGGAGATATGAATCCAACACATTTTTTGTTGACCTGTCATCAAGTTAGTAGGCTATACATTAAATCCTGGGCTTACTGTATTGCAAAAGTGATACTGAATTGTGTTTGGTTGTCAACAAACCAAATATCAACATTTGAAGGAGATGTACTGTATCTACTGATTGGATAGTTCCATCTACACCACTCACGTAGTCCTATTCTTTAACATTTGATTTTTGGTTGAGTTGGAGACATAAATCCAACATGTTAATTGTTAACTGCTATTTAGGCCGGGACTCAATCTGATGCGCATTATAGCGCCCTTGACATTTAAAGGTAATTTCCATTGCATTTACCGTGAATGCGATCTCTGTGAATGTCAGGGAAAATGCCTTTAAAAGCCGAATTGTCTGCTGTCCAGCGCGCTGTGCTATAAATTAAATCCTGGGCTTACTGTATTGCAAAAGTGATATCTAATTGTATTTGGTTGTCAACAAAACCAAATATTAACATTTGAAGGAGATGTATCTACTACTTGGACAGTTTCATCTGTGCCACTGGCTTAGTCCTATTCTTTAACTTAGATTTTTGGTTGAGATGGAGACGTGAATCCAACATATAGAGTGCCTTTTATATCCCTCAGGCATTATGTGTGTACATTTTGCACATACACTCTAACTCAACTCTGTTTTCATTCAAATTAATTGTGTTTTCACTGAAAATCTAAATGTTGGCATGTCCCAGGTCATGTTTTTCCAACTTCTAGGAAGATTTTAACCCACTTAACCCCAATATTTCACCATCATTGGTAAAGCCCTAGTTCTTTGTTGCTTTGGGAAAGTAATTTCTGAAGATTTTTACTTAAGATAATGTGATTCCTAATTAATTGACATTTGTCACTCAGATTTAAAGATGTAATCGGCAGTAAGGGGAATCAGTGCCACTGGCCACCACCGTTGTTATTGTTTTTGTTGCCGAGCTGAGGAGCATGGTAAAAAAAATTGCTGTTCATATTGTGCTCTTCCATCGCGGATGATACAATGATGTCCAAGGGGTAAAAACGTGTTTGTTGTTGTAATATCGCAAACGGACGTGGCAGTTTCACCATTTAGGGGAAGGGGATACCTAGTCAGTTGCACAACTGTATCCATTCAACTGAAATGTGTCTTCTGCATTTAACCCAACCCCTCTGAATCAGAGAGGTGTGGTGGGCTGCCTTAATCGACGTCCAGGTCATCGGCGCCCGGGGAGCAGTTGTTGTGGGGGTTAACTGCCTTGCTCAAGGGCAGAATGGCAGATTTTTCCACCTTGCCGGCTCAGGGATTCGAATAAGCAACCTTTTGGTTACTGTCCCAACGCTCTAACCACTGGGATTCCAGCTTTAAGGTCAACCCTGTAACGTGAACAGAACTCTCGTATTCCTTTAATATATAATTTTTGTCAAAACAGACATTGAGCTGGTTCAAATATTTTTGGCCATTTTCTGGTGTTTTGTGGTGGAAAACTGAGCCCATCGAGCATAACACGTCAACGCTGTTACCCATAGATAGATAGGCTAGAAATGTTTTAACAATTTCAACAAAAAAGTGCACACAACAAGCTTCTATTTCCTCTGTCACAAGGGGAGATGAAATCTAAGATGAAATCGTCAACCCTGTCACTTTAATAGTCACTTTTCCTGTTCTTCATTTAACCTCTTGAGATGGGAAAACATGTTTGTTATGAAGTTGAACATGTGCTCTTTGTGACAGAATGTTAAAATTAGGTGAAATAGTTATTGTTGACAAAATTAAATGACCAAAAATTCACTCTACTTGTGGAATAACACAATAATGTAAAAATAATGTTCAGGGACAACAGTGCTCAACCAAATGGAAATTACTTTATGTTCTGGGAAGGTTTCTTGTTAGTTGACCGACTACCACCCATTTCCTGAGAATTACTTTTCTACTGAATTCTACTGTGTCAGATCTCAAAAATGGAATTGTGTAATTGCATACAATTGTAATGGGATTAATTGAATGGTAGCAATGACAATGTCTCCCCTAGTCAAATTTACTTAAAGTCATGTTTATTGTCCCCCCAATGTTCAAGTGAAACCTACGCCCTTGAGTTGACCACCCACCACCAGTTTCTTGACAAGGGCCTCTCGCTCTGTCACCATGTCCTTGAGCTCAGCAATGACCTGTAGGTCCTCATGACGACTCTCTCTGTTCCGAAACTTATCCTCTGTCCCCTCCAATCTAGACCAGGGTGACACACGAAAACAAAAAATCTGCATTAGTTAACCATAAAAAGTATAAAATTGCCATCTAGATGCCACACAGTACCTTATGTGGCGTCTAGATGGCGCACACATTGAAAGATATCTAAATTAGGTCACCACAGACTGCATTAAGTATGTAAGCAGAACAACGGGAGAGGATTGTACATCTGTGTATCAACATTTCAACAGCGGCATAACATTCTTGCACACATCATCGGACAAAAATTACATTTGAGGAGAGATCACTGGCATTTGATTGCTCACACGCGCACGCGCACACACACACACGCGCGCGCGCACACACGCACACACACACACACACACACACACACACACACACACACACACACACACAGTGCCCTTACAGTATCTGGAGGGCAGAGATCTTGTCCCTCAGTAGCTCCTGGGCTTTGTTGAAGTCTGAGAGCATGATCTGAGTCTCTCTATGGTGAACAGCACTCAGCTCCCCCAGCTCTCTCTCATGTCTCTTTGTCAGGTCCTGTTCATAAGCCCTGAGGCACAGAGAGAGAGACAGAGGTCAGTCACATATTAACACAGTAGTACCACACTGTTAAGTTTAAACCAGGGTTGTGTTCATTTCTATTTCAGCAAATCTGAAATGCCATTTCAGTTCTGTCCTGAGTTTTTGTGTGCAGTCATCAGTCATCGGTTTAAATGCCCACGTAAATGATGCACACATATGTACCCAAAGTGAAGGCATGGCCTTCCACGAAGTGTGAAAACACCATAGAACATCTTAAAAATCTAATCCATTTAATCTGACTAGATCTGAAATTATCCCCAGTGGCTGAACGTAAACAAAGCTTGGCAGCCAAGCCATGTTAAAATGAGCCTCTTTACACTCTCCAGTTAAAGCAAGCTAAAAATAACAATAATGGATTTATATAACAGGCACTGGGAGCTCCACTCCTGTTAGATTTGTACCTCTCTTCCCATATCTAATGATGGAATTTATCCTAACACAACACTGCCTTTCCCCAAATCCTAACTGCAATACAGTCTCTGCTTAACTGGTTGTGGATGTTGTTGAATTCAAGTGGAATAAAAGAGGGATGTGTATGTTAGTCACCTCCAGAAGATACACCTAGCATGTCCTGGGAGATGGGACTTTATTTATATCTTGAGAGGAGGGAGACTTAATACTATAGGATGCGCCACAATCAAGTCTGAATAAATCTAGCCACAGAGCATATCATTGTGCCAGAGATAGAAGTCTTCAGTAATCTCTGGCTACATACAGTGCATTCGGAAAGAATTCAGATCCCTTCCCTTTTTCCACATTTTGTTACGTTACAGACTTATTCTTAAATTGATTTTTTTTTAAATTCCCCCTCATCAATCTATACACAATACCCCATAATGACAAAGCAAAAACAGGTTTTTAGAATTTTTTTGCAAATGTATAAAAAACAGATACCTTATTTACTTAAGTATTCAGACCCTTTGCTATGAGACTCGAAATTGAGCTCAGGTGCATCCTGTTTCCATTGATCATCCTTGAGATGTTTCTAAAACTTCATTGTAGTCCACCTGTGGTAAATGTTTTGGAAAGGCACACACCTGTCTATACAGTTGCAATGCATGTCAGAGCAAAAACCAAGCCATGAGGTAGAAGGAATTGTCTGTAGAACTCTGAGACTGGATTGTGTCGAGGCACAGATCTTGGGAAGGGTCCCAAAAACTGTCTGCAGCATTGAAGGTCTCCATGAACACAGTGGCCTCCATCATTCTTAAATGGAAGAAGTTTGGAACCACCAAGAATCTTCCTAGAGCTGGCCGCATGGCCAAACTGAGCAATCGGGGGAGAAGGGCCTTGGTCAGGGAGGTGACCAAGAACCCGATGGTCACTCTGACAGAGCTCCATAGTTCCTTTGTGGAGATGGGAGAACCTTCCAGAAGGATAACCATCTCTGCAGCACTCAGGCCTTTATGGTAGAGTGGCCAGACGGAAGCCACTCCACAGTAAAAGGCACATGTCAGCCCGCTTGGAGTTTGCCAAAAGGCACCTAAAGGACTCTCAGACCATGAGAAACAAGATTATCTGATCTGATGAAACCAAGATTGAACTCTTTGGCCTGAATGCCAAGCGTCAGTTTGTCAAATTTCTGCCCTGCTAGAGCTGCCCCGGTCAACTGTAAGTGCTGTTATTGTAAAATGGAATTGTCTAGGCGCAACAATGACTTAGCCGCGAAGTGGTAGGTCACACAAGCTCACAGAACGCTGAAGCGCATAAAATCGTGTGTCCTCGGTTGCAACACTCACTACCGAGTTACAAACTGCCTCTTGAAGCAACATCAGCACAATAACTGTTAGTCGGGAACTTCATGAAATTGATTTCCATGACCGAGCAGCCACACAAAAGCCTAAGATCACCACGTGCAATGCCAAGCCAATCACTAAGGACCCTGGGACTAAACACCTCCCTCTGCAACTGGATCCTGGACTTCCTGACGGTCGCCCCCAGGTGGTAAGGGTAGGCAACAACACATCTGCCACACTGATCCTCAACACGGGGGCCCCTCAGGGGTGCGTGCTCAGTCCCCTCCTGTACTCCCTGTTCACCCATGACTGCATGGCCAGGCACGACTCCAACACCATCATTAAGTTTGCCAACAACACAACAGTGGTAGGCCTGATCACCGACAACGATGAGACAGCCTATATGGAGGAGTTCAGAGACCTGGTCGTGTGGGGCCAGGATAACAACCTCTCCCTCAACGTGATCAAGACAAAGGAGATGATTGTGAACTACAGGAAAAAGAAGAGGACCGAGCACGCCCCCATTCTCATCGACGGGGCTGTTGTGGAGCAGGTTGAGAGCTTCAAGTTGTCCACATCACCAACAAACTATCATGGTCCAAACACACCAAGAAAGTCGTGAAGAGGGCACGACAAAGCCTATTCCCCCTCAGGAGACGGGAAAAATGTGGCATGCGTCCTCAGATCCTCAAAAGGTTCTACAGCTGCACCATCGAGAGCATCCTGACTGGTTGCATCACTGCCTGGTATGGCAACTGCTCGGCCTCCGACCGCAAGGAACTACAGAGGGTAGTGCGTACAGCCCAGAACATCACTGGGGCCAAGCTTCCTGCCATCCAGGACCTTTATACCAGGCGGTGTCAGAGGAAGGCCCTAAAAATTGTCAAAGACTCCAGCCCCCCTAGTCATAGACTGTTCTCTCTGCTACTGCATGGCAAGCGATACCGGATCGCCAAGTCTAGGTCCAAAAGGCTTCTTAACAGCTTCTACCCCCAAGCCATAAGACTCATGAACAGGTAATCAACTGGCTACCCAGACTATTTGCATTGTGTGTCCCCAATGGAGAATGCTACCTGCCCCAATGCATAGTGCCAACTGTTATGTTTGGTGGAGGAGGAATAATGGTTTGGGGCTGTTTTTCCATGGTTCGGGCTAGGCCCTTTAGTTCCAGTGAAGGGAAATGTTAACACTACAGCATACAATGACATTCTAGACGATTCTATGCTTCCAACTTTGTGGCAACAGTTTGGGAAAGGCCCTTTCCTGTTTCAGCATGACAATGCCCCCGTGCGCAAAGCGAGGTCCATACAGAAATGATTTGTCGAGATCGGTGTGGAACAACTTCACTGGCCTACACAGAGCCCTGACCTCAACCCTATTGAACACCTTTGGGTTGAATTTGACCTACATCAGTGCCCGACCTCATTAATGCTCTTGTGGCTGAATGGAAGCAAGTCCCCACAGCAATGTTCCAACATCTAGTGGAAAGTCTTCCCAGAAGAGAGGAGGCTGTTGTAGCAGCAAAGTGGGGACCAACCCCATATTATTGCCCATGATTTTGGAATTAGATGTTCGACGAGGAGGTGTCCACATACTTTTGGTCATGTAGTGTAGTTTGAGAACTGCTGAACACTGTACAATTCTATATTTTGACATCTTAAATGTATCAATATACAACAATTTATGTTGGAAGGTAAAACCAAATTATATGTGGATGTGGCTGTAAATACTTAATAATCCTCCTCCATCAGTCAGTGTGCTTCAATAGGACAAAGTGGAAAGAGTCACTCTATGTGATACCATTGGGAATTATAGTGTAATGTACAATGCACTGCTGAAATACCTGGGTTGTACAGTATATAGTAATATATTTCACTAATTATCAGCATTTCATTGATACGCTGTAAGCTGATTAATTTTGTCAAGCAGAGAGACAGGTGATACTATATTAGTTGACAAGTCATATAGAAAAAGTGATATTGTGCAATGTTGCATGGGGCAGAAATGGAATACACTACACTCCCCCAAAATATTTTGGCTGCCCTTAAATTTTGGTAACTTCCATAATTTCTATCCCTTGTGTGATCAAAGGTGTGATCATTGAAGACATATTTCACAATGTAATCGAATGAAATAAATGAAATAAATATCATGTTTAGCAGGCAGTAGTTTCCATCAAGCCTGTCTTGAGCATTTGGCCATAGGTTCTCATCGACATCGCAGTAAATGTCCTCATTGTTCATGCACCTGGGGTAAAGCCTTTTGGCTTGGCGAATTCAAGCCTGACATAGGTCTGGATTGATGTCATTGCATGCCTCATCCATGGCCTGAAGGAGGGTGGTACACTCATGGGGATGGCAATCATACATCTTCCACCTGTATTGCAATTGTGTATTGTTTTTAACAGTCTTGTATTGTACTTATGTATTATAGTTGTCTTGTACGTGGCTTAGTTCATAAGAGCATGGCACTAGCAAGACCAGAGTTGTGGGTTCGATCCAAAATCGCACCAATGCGAAAGAAAAAAGCTAACTTTACCAATTCTTTTTGGGGGGCAGAGCTCATTAGAATAATACCCAGCATACTTTGCAACCTTACATTCGTACATTTACATTTTGGTAATTCAGTCAGTGCATTCAACTAAGGTAGATAAACAACCACATGTAAAAAGTTTATGTAACAATGAGGATGTCATTGTATTTAAACTGGTCTGTTGGTTAGCTGGTGGAGAAGCTCATGGATGAGCAAGAAGCAGATGGGAGCACAAAGCTCCCTACTGAATCTCCACTATACCATTGTTAATCAGAAATAAAACCTTTTAATGTAAAGTGCTTTTTTCATTTAGTAGTTAGGATGAATGCAACTCAAAGAGCTAGAACTGACACAATTGTGTCATTTTGGAGGTACAGTACTTGCTCTAATTGAGTTGAAACATGTTTACCTGAATACATTTAGTCAATCTGACATAATCATTTCTAACTATTATTTGTCAATTCAATAGTGTTTCGATAACACAATTCAATTAAGTAGATCTGTATTAATAATTTCATATAAAAAATTACCTGTTTCCATTAGGTGTAACTACTGACAAAAAATGAATTAAGTAGATCCAAATACACCAATAGCATTTTACTGTAGGCTACTGGTTTACAATACATTCTACCCCTTTATCTGATGATTTATTATACATTTAAGGATACTGCAACTGTAAGACAGACATGTTTCTCATCATGCTCCAAACCTACCTACGGTAGGATTTTTTATTTAAATTTTTACCATTATTTCAACAGGGAGTCCCATTGAGACCAAGGTCTCTTTTACAAGGGAGCCCTGCATTTTACAATTTACACATTTTATAGAAGACAGGCAACAGTTAAAATACACAAAAATACACAAATCTAAAATACAATCATAGATAACATCTACATCTCTCAGCTACCAGGTTTTCAATCAATACCCTAAACTGCCTGAGCAGCACCAGAACATCCGATTTCAATGAGATCTGCAATTTGTTCCAGCATGTGCGGCGCATCATAACGAAAATGATTACAAATGATTCAAACATTGGTTTGCTGTAAACTTAAATAGGGGTATTGTAAAACAGTTGCCTACTGTAAAAACGTAGCATGGTGTTGTATGCCATTTCTGCCCCATTTCTGCCCCAACATTGTACAAGATCACCTTTTCTACGCAACTTGCCAACTGGTACAGTATCGCCGGTCTCTCTGCTTGAAATTCATCAGCTTAAAGTGTATAAATGAAATTCAGATTATGAGTGGAACATATTGTTATATACAACCCATGTATTTTACCAGTGCATTGTACACAACAATTCCAAATGGTAACACATACTGTAGAGTGACTCTTTCCATTTTGTACTATTGAAGCATACTGGCTGATGGAGAATGATGATGTGGTATTTACAGCCACATCCATATATGATTTGGTTTTACCTTTCAAAATACAGGTGTTTTTTTATTGCTTTGGTACTATTTTCACAAGTATAATGTCAAATTTCACAACTCTTAGTACAAAACTCAAAACAGATAATCAAAAAGGCATTTTTTTCTCAACTTTAAGCACATTTTCATTTGACTAAGTACAACACACAACATCACATAGTAACTTTTTCACCAGACCTAATCAGTGTTTCATCTATAAATACCTTTCATATAATGTAATTGCCTTCCACAATGCAATGCTCACAATACTTTTCATATGATTCTCTTCTCATTTGTTTAAATACATTTGACCATCACTTAATCCAACTGCGCTTAATGGTTAATCAGTTAACCATTTGGTAAACCTATAGATTTTAAACTGGTTTGTCTACTATATATGGATTTTGAGAACTACAGAGATAAAATGTGTGTTTGTAAAGTATAAACATCTAAATTACATGTATGACACATGATAACCATACATAATGACTACTCGTTATTTGTAATTGATTTCACATAGTGGTAACCACAATTGGTCACCATATAAAAGAGGATGTGTGAACACTGGAGCAGGATAGACAGAAAGAGAGAGAAAGAAATCGAAGAGCTCGTGGTCTAGGAGCCCGTCAGAGAGGTGGGTATGGGCCCTGTCAAAGAGATGGGCATTGGCCTTGTCAAAGAGGTGGACATCAGAGAAAGGGAGGCAGGCAACTGTTCTGTCTAATGAAGTCCGGGCCATCGTCGTTGACCATGTATTTTTGTATTTGTATTTATTATGCATCCCCATTAGCTGCTGCGAAGGCAGCAGCTACTTCCTGGGGTCCAGCAAAATTAAGGCAGTTATGCAATTTTAAAAACATTGCGATACATTCACAACAGATTTTAAAACACATTAAGTGTGTGCCCTCAGGCCCCTATTCTACTACCACATATCTACAACACAAAATCCATGTGTACGTGTGTGTATAGTGCGTATGTTATTGTGTGTGTGTGTATGCATGTGTCTGTGCCTATGTTTGTGTTTCTTCACAGTCCCCGCTGTTCCATAACGTGTAATGTTATCTGTTTAATATCTGTGGTAAACAGAGGCCTTTTAGTTCACCCCAATCAGAAAAGATCAACTGTCAATTTTATACTGAGGACATTTCGCCAAGAAAACTGGTAAGTCTGCAGGATATGCACTATGCTTTACCATGACATTTACAGTAAATTACATATTGTAATGCATGTAAATTCATAAAACATGTTACAGTATTCTTATAGTATGATCTATTGACAGTATACTCTGTTCTACCCTCAGAATTTACAGACGACCCCATGGTGGTGGCCAAGGCCGTGTGCTGACCGACCAGCAGGAGTGGGCAGTGGTGGAAATGGTGAGGGCCAGGAATGACATACGGCTGTCTGAAATAAAGCAGGCCATTGAGGAGAACGATGAACCCTTTGCCAATGTGGCATCCATCAGCCTACCAACAATCGCCTGCCTTTTGAAGAGGCTCCAGGTATCTATTAACCACATTTACCTGGTGCCTTTTGAGAGAAACAACAACCGGGAGAAACAACTGCGAGCCGAGTATGTTCAGGTAGAGCACTCATTACTGTATTACTGTTACTATTTGATGCACATGCTACTTCACAATATCATATTGAATCTATACTGTAAAAAAAAAAAATCAGCATGGAGGTGGAAGGTGTACGATCGCCATCCCCATGAGCGTGCCACCCTCCCTCTGGCCATGGATGAGGCATGCGACGACATCAATGCAGACCAATGTCAAGCTTGGATTCGCCATGCCAAAAGCTTTTTCCAGTGTGCAGCTACTTTGAAGAACCTCAAATATAAAATATATTTTGATTTGTTTAACACTTTTTTGGTTACTACATGATTCCATATGTGTTATTTCATAGTTTTGATGTCTTCACTATTATTCTACAATGTAGAAAATAGTACAAAATAAAGAAAAACCCTTGAGTGAGTAGGTGTTCTAAAACTTTTGACCAGTAGTGTGTTTTGCATTGTTGCTTTTGGATTAACTGGTAGTTAAAATGACTAAATTGAAACGATATCATTATGTTGTGTTTTGGTGATTAAACCAATGATCTCATTACATTTCACAATAAACATATATTTTGAATCAATGGTTGTGTGGTGAGATATGTTTACAATCCAAATGAATGCACAATGACAGGTTTTGAAAGAAAGACTGGCCAGTTTGGAGTTTTGTACTAAGAGTTGTACCACATAGTGAAAATAGTACCAAAGCGATAGAAGAAAATAGTAAATTGATGTCAAATTGATACATTTATGAAGTAAAAATATTGACTTTAACAGTGTTCAAACTATGACCCCTTATTGATGTCACCTGTTAAATCCACTTCAATCAGTGTAGATGAAGGGGAGGATGCAGGTTAAAGAAGGATTTTTAAGCCTCAACAGTTTCCTGTGTGTATCAACAATGGTCCACCACCCAAAGGACATCCAGCCAACTTGACACAACTGTGGGAAGCATTGGAGTCACCATGGGCCAGCATCCCTGTGGAATGCTTTCGACACCTTGTAGAGTCCATGTCCGACAAATTGAGACGGTTCCGAGGGCAAAAGGGGGTGCAACTCCATATTAGGAAGGTGTACATTAACTAGGCACTACATAATTTAGGTTCAGTAGTTATCCGTTTTGAGCAGTTTGATTAAGTGATAGTTCATTGTATTGTTAACAAATGACAAGAAAATCATATCAAAAGTAAAGTGAATATTGCATTTTGAAAATAAGATACTTTGATTGAATATGTATCCAAATTGAAAGAGTGATTTGGTGCAGTGAACAAGAGACTTTGTGAAATTGTTTGTTGTACTCACTCAATTGATAATGTGCTTAGAGTTTTGAAACATGAGCCATTTTGATGATTTCTTTAGATTTTTGTGCTTAGAGTTTTAAATCTATACCACTTACATTTAAAAAAAAAATGCACCAAAGTGATTGGGGAAAAAACAGTAAAGCACACCTCACATGATAATGTGGGCTCTTGAAAAAGATAAGACTACTTTTCATGTCAATCTAGCATTTCTAAGACCATGACGGTCCACATATACTGAGAGATTTGGACGACCTGGGTACTACCTCACTCCAGGGGTCACTGAAAATAGATGCCAGTTTAATGGGTCCCAGTACCTGATCTGCTGGTTGGCCTCGCTGCGGACTCGGAGCACCTCCTTGCCCTTGAGCTCCAGCTCTCTGGTGAGGGTGCTGATAGTCTCATTGAGGGAGTGGATCTCGTGGTCCAGGTCTGTGATACGGTTGGTTCTGCAGGACACCTCCTGCTGCAGGTCTGATATACTACCCAGCAGGTCCTCCTCCTGGTTCCAAGTCAGACAAGATAATAAAGACATAATCATAATTGTTGGGGTGACAATTCCAATCTAATTCAGTCAATTTAGGACGTGAATTGAAATTCCAAATTCCCACATTTTCAGGGACTATTTTTATGACCCCAACTCTAGGGATAGCTATCAATAAGAATATTGTATTTGGTAAGAATACTGCCATCGGTAAGCATCCAATGGCCACCACAAAGTGAATTAATCCTATTGGTACAGAGCTTAGTGCACCTGCTCTAAAAACATAGGGGGGCTGGTTTGATTCCACCCATAACTAGTCCCACAACTTTGCTACAGCCAATTCAATACTAATGGCCAGTATACCTATTACCAGCAGCTATACAATAATCTGCATCATTACATCCACTGTCCAATGAGTGTGTGTAAAGGGTTGCACCAAGAAACAAACTTGTTTCCCCTCTCTCTCTTCATTGAAGTGAGTTTGTGACAGCCAGGTATTACTCGAAACAAAAACAATAAGGTTACAACAATACTTCAACATTTCTAAAGCGGTTTACAGACTGTGTGTCCCAATATATAAATATTTGATTTGCGACCCTATACCTAATTAGTTTAATTTGGAAGAGATGTTGTAGAAGCTGCTTGGGGAGGCATGGGTAGATGCCAGCCCTAAGGCGCAGTCTACATTTCTAACTGGGGCATGTTAAAAGGCATAGCACTACATTAACTGAAACGAGTTGTCCTTGTATTTCTGAGAAATAAAAAAGAGAGCAAGGGAAGGAAAAAGAGAGAGGAGGGAAAGAGAGAGTGTGGTCCAACATAGGAAAATTATGCAATCAAAGTGCTCAGAAACGTATATAGAAATGCGTACACAGGAACCTTTCAGATCCTTTGTTGTTCTTCACTTATGTATTATGATTCACCCTAAAGTTTAAAGCACAGACTATGAGAAAATGGGTAATCTTGGACCTCTGGACAGTTTGCTTATCTGTACCACTTAGTATGTATCATCCTGCCCTATTATGTTTGTGTTAAGGAAATACCCGAATTTGCCAATGAAAAAAGCAACACTGAAAGCAGCATTTATTTTTAAATCGCAGTCTCAGTCTGTATATGAGATGCACACGATGTGATCACTAGCTGTTGTATTTCAAATATAATTATAATATTGTTTTGGCTACATCACAGATGCTTGGCAAACAGTGAGCTTCAGCTCCCAAGGGGTGAGTCCCAAATAACAATTTAGTAAAAAGAAAACACAAACACACCCAAAAAGTCCTTCTCTGGTCCTTTCTAGCCATGTGGTCAGGGGCTATGTGTATCAAGCATCTCAGAGTACGAGTACTAATCTAGGATCAGGCTAAACTGATCCTAGATCAGCACTCCTACTCTGAGACGTGTAATACATACACCTCAAGATATAATTTCACCCCCCCTAAATTGTTATGGTTATGATTAAGAGTGTGGTTAGGGGCAACTTCTACCTCAAGCAGCAACAAATACCATTAAGTAGTACAAGTGTCAACTCATGACTGACCTGTTGCTGACTCTGCTCCAGAGCACCCTCTAGCTCCAGTTTGGCAGCAGTATTCTCCTTCAGGTGGATCTGGCGCAGATGCTCTATGGCTGTTGCATGGAGGTGGTTCAGCTCAGAGCGCAGGGAGGCTACAGGGGAGGAAGAGGAGGAAGGGTGGGGGAACATGAAAGTCCTGTGTGGCTCAATTGGTAGAGCATGGCATTGAAAATACCTATTTTATGGACGTAGGAAATATGGCTAAATTTCAACCGTACTTACATTCACTTATATCTATATATGTCAATGAAGAAAACATTATATCACATTCAAAATGTTTTTATTCCAATTAAAATAGTAAAATGTAGCTAACTGAAGATTGCAGTATGGAATATGTATTATTGCTCCCATCTGTCATATGCACTTATGTTAGCCTTTTCAAAAGCTTTAGAACTGGCAGCGATCAAGTTCAAAGTTTTCAGACGAACAGAAAAAATAAACAGAACACTTCGATTACAATAACATTCTCAGTAATGGTTACAGATACGTTTTTCTGGCTGAGACTGTGATATGTGGTTGTGTATCTAACTTGAATGCACCGACTAAGTCGCTACATTTTTATGGTTAGGAATAAGAGCATGGTTAGGGGCAACTTCAACCTCAAGCAGCAAAAACATATGTATTATTGGTCCCACAGTACAGTACAGTACAGTTTAGTTCAGTAGAGTAAAGTATAGTATTTAGTATTTTATTAGGATCTTCCTGGGGTCCAAACAGGAAACAACACATAAAATACATAATATACATAAATATACAGTACCAGTCAAAAGTTTGGACACACCTACTCATTCAAGGGTTTTTCTTTATGTTTTACTATTTTCTACATTGTAGAATAATAGTGAAGACATCAACACTATGAAATAACACATATGGAATCATGTAGTAACCAAAAAAGTGTTAAACAAATCAAAATATATTTTATATTTGAGATTCTTCAAATAGCCACCATTTGCCTTGATGCAACTTTGCACACTCTTGGCATTCTCTCAACCAGCTTCACCTGGAATGCTTTTCCAACAGTCTTGAAGGAGTTCCCACATATGCTGAGCACTTGTTGGCTGCTTTTTCTTCACTCTGCTATCTGACTCATCCCAAACAATCTCAATTGGGTTGAGGTCGGGGGATTGTGGAGGCCAGGTCATCTGATGCAGCACTCCATCACTCTCCTTCTTGGTAAAATAGCCTGGAGGTGTGTTGGGTCATTGTCCTGTTGAAAAAGAAATTATAGTCCCACTAAACCCAAACCAGATGGGATAGCATATCGCTGCAGAATGCTGTGGTAGCAAATGCTCATTAAGTGTGCCTTAAATTCTAAATAAATCACAGACAGTGTCCCCAGCAAAGCACCCCCACACCATAACACCTCCTCCTCCATGCTTTACGGTGGGAACTACACAAACGGAGATCATCCGTTCACCCACACTGCGTCTCATGAAGACACGGCGGTTGGAACCAAAAATCTCCAATTTGGACTGCAGACCAAACAACAAATTTCCACCGGCCTAATGTCCATTGCTCGTGTTTCTTGGCCCAAGCAGGTCTCTTCTTCTTAATGGTGTCCTTTAGTAGTAGTTTCTTTGCAGCAATTCGACCATGAAGGCCTGATTCACACAGTCCCCTCTGAACAGTTGATGTTGAGATGTGTCTGTGACTTGAACTCTGTGAAGCATTTATTTGGGCTGCAATTTCTGAGCCTGGTAACTCTAATGAACTTATCCTCTGCAGCATAGGTAACTCTGGGTCTTCCATTCCTGTGGTTGTCCTCATGAGTGCCAGTTTCCTCATAGCGGTTGATGGTTTTTGCAACTACACTTTCAAAGTTCTTGAAATGTTCTGTATTGACTGACCTTCATGTCTTAAAGTAATGATGGACTGTCATTTTTCTTTGCTTATTTGAGCTGTTCTTGCCATAATATGGACTTGGTCTTTTACAAAATAGGGATAACTTCTGTATACCACCCCTACCTTGTCACAACACAACTGATTGGCTCAAACGCATTAAGAAGGAAAGAAATTCCACAAATTAACATTTAAGAAGGCACACCTGTTAATTAAAATGCACTCCAGGTGACTACCTCATGAAGCTGGTTGAGAGAATGACAAGAGTGTGCAAAGCTGTCATCAAGGCAAAGGGTGGCTATTTGAAGAATCTGTTTAACACTTTTTTGGTTACTACATGATTCCATACGTGTTATTTCATAGTTTTGATGTCTTCACTATTATTCTACAATGTAAAAAATAGTAAAAATAAAGAAAAACCCTTGAATGAGTAGGTGTGTCCAAACTTTTGACTGGTAGTGTACATACATAGCACTACATTTACATTACAATTTTGCCATTCAGCAGATGCTCCCATCCAGAGCGACCCACAGCTAGAGCATTTATCTTAAGATAGCCAGGTGAGACAACCACATATCACTGTTGTATCCCAAACCATGTATCACATACATAATACAATAAATAATACAATACAAAATACAATACAAAATGCATAAAAATGTCTGTGTGTCTCTTCACAGTGCCTGTCGTGCCATAAGGTGTTCTTTTATCTGTTTTGTTAATTTGGTTTCATTGCTAGCTTGAGCTCTATTTAATACTGTGTGTTTCCCAACCTCTGTTCTGGACCTGAGGACTGTGAAGACACCTCTGATCGCATGTCTTGTGTGATACCGATGAGTGTCCAGCCTGTGTGCCAACTGCTTGAACAGACAGTTTGGTACCTTCAAGACCTCGCACAAAGACCAATATTGATGCAGTCAATCTCTCCTCAACTTTGAGCCAGGAGAGATTGACATGCATGTTATTAACATTTGCCCTCCGTGTACATCTAAGTGAAATATGTGCTGCTCTGTTTTGGACCAAATGCAATTAGCCTATGTCCTTATTTGCCGCACCTGACCACACAACTGGACAGTAGTCCAGGTGCGACAAAACTACGGCCTGTAGGACATTTCTGGTTGACTGTGATATCAAGAAAGCAGAGCAACGTCTTATCATGGACAGACCTCTTCCCATTTTAGTAACCATTGAGTCTATATATTTTGACCATGATAGCTTACTATCTAGGGTGACACCCATCAGTTAAGTCTCTTCAACTTGCTCAATAACCACATTATTCAATAATAGATCCAGATGAGCTCAGTGAGTGATTTGTCCCAAAAATGATGCTTTTAGTTTTTTTAAAATATATTTAGCACCAGCCTATTGCTTGTTACCCATTTTAAAACGGACTGGAGCTATATGTTAAGAGTGTCAGTTATTTATTTTACTATTGCAGCCGACGTGTATAATGTTTATTCAAGGTCAGTGGAAGGTCATTGGTAAACACAGAAAACAACAATGGTCCAAGCTGGCTGCCCTGCGGTACACCACACTCAAACAAATTTGCATTAGAGAGGCTTCCATTAAAGAAAACCCTCTGTGTTCTATTGGATAGGTAACTGTCCATCCATGATAAGGCAAAGGATGTTAATCCATAACACTTAAGTTTTTTCTGCAATATGTTATGATCAAAGATATCAAAGGCTGCACTGAAGTCTAACAAAACAGCTCCCACAATCTTCTTATTATCAATTTATTCAGCCAATCATCAGTCATTTATGTCAGTGCCGAGCATGTTGAGTGCCTTTCCCTATAAGCATGCTGTAAGTCTGTTGTTAATTTGTTTTCTGTAAAATAACATTGTATTTGGTCGAGCATGATTTTTTCCAAAAGTTTGCTAAGCAATGGAAACAGTCTGAATGGTCTGCTGTTTGAACCATTAAAGGGTGCTTTGCTATTTTTGGGCAGCAGGATGACCTTTGCCTCCCTCCAGGCCTGTGGGCACACTCCGTCTTCTAGGTTTAGATTGAAGATGTGGCAAATAGATGTCGTAATGTATTCCACTACCAACCTCAGTAATTTACCATCAGGTTGCAATACTTTTTTCACCTCTTCCACACTAACTTTGCGGAATTCAAAGCTACAGTGTATGTTATTATTTGGTCCTTTATGCATGAATATGAAGGCTCAGCATTCGTTTTTTTGCATGAAATACCTAAGTTTGCCAATCTTGTAAAAAAATAAGTAATTAAAGTGGTTTTGAATATTGAATCAACCATCAGCCTCAATGAAGGATGGAGATGAGTTA